CTTGATACTTATGTTCTTATATGGCAAACAAACGTCTGGAATATATGGAAACAGTCAAGAACACTGATTACTTTTACTAACTTAAGTTTTGTTTATTCTCAATCGCAAAGTTGATTAAAATTGTCCACAGTGAATGCTCCAAAATTTATGTTTCTCTTGTCATTAAGTGCAACGAAAGCATTTGCAACAGATAAAAGGGAAATGCTATCGAGTCTAATCTTGTGGGTATTTAGGATAGCTAGATTTGAAAAACGTGCTTGCTGCATCCTTGAACGAAGCGAGGTTTTTACTGTTCTAGGGGTAGAAAAAGAACGTTCACCTGAAGAACTTGTGGCTGGATTCACGTGTATCAACTGGCAGATTCTAATTACATGGTTAATAAAATGTCTTTCATGTTCGCTGAAAGACTTAACAGCGCTTAAAATGTCATCAAAACACTCCACCTCCATATTAAGTCTTGATATTATCACTTGTGCTTAACTGAGCTTCTAATGTTGGCAGAGACACATTTCCACTAAAATATGACGACAATTCATCCATTTCCTTTGCTATGTCATTTCCATGAGCTGCATTGACAAGTAGACTTTCCAAATTCTTGTAAACAAGAAATGCTGGCTGTTTGAAACATTCTTTAATAGCAGACATTAAGCAATCTAGTGCTTCAAAGAATATTGCACGATAATAGTCCCGAGGTGTGCTTGGATATTGTGGCTCACCTGAACCCATTTCGCAGCGTGTTGGGGCACGTCGTTTTTTTGGCAACTTTTTGGCTCTGAGAGTGACTGATGTTCTTTTGCCTTTATTAGAATAACGCCATAAAATGAATTAAAAGATTCATTATTCCTAATGCTTTCCAACGTTGAAAGAGTTAGAGAGTCAAGTTTCTGCCCTGTGATTGCTGAAATCCGCTTGGCTTGCAACGATTTCGAAAGATTATCGGTGTGCGCAAAAAGGCGTTGGCTTATATGAAGACCAAAGAAATAATGGAATGTTTTCATCTGTGCTTTACATCCCAGAATTCGGGCCCGGGTATCAGTGTCAATTTTGCTTTCAAGATATGTATCCCATACCTTGAAGAGTGATGCATAGTTATCGAGTTGTAACATGTAGTTGTAACAGTTATGCGTTTGTAACATGTAGTCTTCACTGTCCATCTTGTCGGGCAAAACTTAACTATACCAGGTTTTCGTCTTCCTCATTGCAACTCTCTCCTTCTATGTTGTCCTCCACTTCGCCTAGCAAATGTTCGCGCTTGGGTGAATACTTGATAAGAGTTATCAGTTCCTTTGAGGTATCCATCGTGTCAGATAGGGCTTTACAAGATTTTACTGCATCCTTCACACCCAAGATCAATGAATGTCCGTGACAATGTGTTGGATAGGCTTTTGGTTGCAGCAACACCTGTCTTTGCTCCCAGCATGTTGCTCGCCCCATCATAACATTGTCCCCGGCACTTATCTGTTGACAAGGTCAGCCGTGTAAGAGCATCTTGAATTACTAATGTTATTGTATCAGCACCGATGTTGGGGATTTGGTAGAAACCAAGAATGTCCTCATGAGCTTCTAAATCACTGTCAATCCATCTTAAACACAACGATAGTTGCTCTTTACTAAAGTGCAGTATACCGCTATTTTAATGGGCAATATGATGCACTGTGGACATTATTTCAGCATTGATCCATAATATTTTTGCCGTTAATTAGTCTTTTCACAAAGTCTCTCAAAATGTAAATCAGCAAAACGCTGTTGTTGAAGTTGTGTACTGAAACGGTTTCACGTTGCAATGCATGTATACCGAGTAATCCGGAAGGAAAATAGAGATCATAGAAATCAAACGAATAGAAACGATGCCTACAGTCCGGAACATTACTAGTTTTGGGAATACTTTGTAAACACAGCTCTTATCAATCACAGACGAGAACACATTCGCGTTCATGGCAACAATCATGACAATCATGACATGCAATACATTTCTTTTGAATGCCATGACATATTACGTGGAAGTCTCTGCTATTTGTATACGTTTGATGTTTCTATTGATTGAAGTCCTGAATATTATCAAATTTGATAATGCTCGTTTTGTTTTGATACCGTCGAGCAAAATTGTTTTGTATGTTGTTGCTCATCAAGTAAATGTTTAAATTAAAACCCTAAATCTACACACATGAAGCTTTCTATGAATTGAGCAAGTAATATACGCTTCGAAAGAGGGCCGATTTGGGGCAGTTAAAGCCCACGAGTAGTCCCGAACCGTCACAGAAACGCAAGTTCGATTGTAATCATGGTGATTTGAGTTTTCCCTTTCTTAGCTTCAAGTACATCGAATTCATTCCTCAGTAAAAATCTTCTAGTAGTTTACAATGAAAGCACAGCACATGATAAGAGTAGTGTATTTTAATATTTATCAAAGATACTTAGCACACTTMGCACCAATCCCAACGTCTCCATTTTATCGCTGCTTTCCTCCTCAATGTTTAGAAAATGCCCCAGAATCGTTGAATTCCTTCACATAAAAGTCTTGCCGTATTTTCTTCTTTTCTTTCTTGACTTGTGATCATTGTGACTTKCTATCAAGGAAACACTACAGATACAACATCTTTTATCGAGGAATCTCCGATGCTCCTCAATCGCTCCTTTCAATAAATAGCTTTTACAACTTTAAAGAGGATGCCTCAAAAAGTTCCGTTATGCCTCAACACGAAACCAACTCTAATAGACAGTAAAACCACTCTCAATTGCCTTTAGGTGGGCCAAATTCCCAACTACGGGGGCAAAGATACTTAAAAAAAATCGTTTTAGTATGTGAAACTAGTCGAAAAATCGCAAAGACGCAGCATAAAAACTCGAATATTTTGAAAACTTACACGTGTCTTATACAATACTTCACAGCTATGGCTTCGTTTGTTATGCTAGAAAGCCTTGACGGGCAAAGGTTCATGGGATTGGACCTTTATTTGAGTATTAAGGGCTAAAATGGAAAGGGTTCGGAAAAAGATTCAGCCGYCATTTTGTGATGGAAATTATATTACTAAAATTGGTAATGTTYCGGACTGGYWTAAGKGGCCTGGGATTCCGTTCACCTGAAGTAACGAAAATCTGCTTGTTTTCAACAATAAGTCATTTACTTGAATCTCATTGACTGCACAGTGTATGTATGAAGCCTTCATGCATTGCAATAACATGTTAACGTTTTGTATCTTATAACTTTGGGAGTTAAAATTCTATACTTTGCTTTGTTGATGATGATCTTTCAATTGATTCATTTTGTAGATATACATTGTGTGTACTTACAAAACATTTAATGCGGACAACCCATCAAATGAGTTGTTTTGTAGATAGTCCACAAGATTACTCCCCAAGTCTCTGTAAGTTACATAAGGACTATCAACCGTTATATGTATGGATATGTTTTTGTTCAAATATAGAGAAACTGATATGTAAGGTATAGAACTAGGTGAGCACAATCCTTAMAAGCTACTTACAAAGTTTTAAGTTGATCCAGATATTGGAAATTCTGTGGCACTTTCATTAGAAAATTGATATTAAGACGCCTAAAATATTAAAAAAAAATCAAATTTTCATTTTTTTTACAAAGCTTTATGGCGAGGAACCCGTGAGTAAACTTGAATCGAYGTTATTCCTTACATAAATTCTATTGATGATCCATTGACAAATGCATTTGGTGCAACATAAAAGAGACGGTTGTTGGACATGTCCCTAAAAACAAAACCGGAGTATTTACAGTATTAATGGTCATGTTCTTCGTTATTTGTAAGTATATAATTTGTTATTATAATCATTGATARAACTCATTAATAATGTATGAGCTATTACTCCAATAAGGGCTGTCCATTTAATCAGGTGATTGACCTTGTAAATCTGATACAACACTAGTATCGTCACCATTGAGACAACCCAACACTAGCAAAGGTCTCATTTTTAGTATCGCATCATAGACCKTCACTARGTTTTGAACCAGTAGAAAACAGATAACAAAACTTGACTGGCTTATRCAACAGAATGCTTGCTTTTCATGTGGGATGCATAATTATTCAAAATGTTCTGTGTTGCAGTAAATTGCGCATGCTTAATACCGACTTAACTCAGCAGTTACATACAACACGGCCACTCAGATCATGTTGTAAACTATACATAATTATGAAAATACTGGTCCAAATGTGCAGTGAAAGGAGAATAGAACTAATCAAGTCTTTATCCAGTCGATAAAATCTATGCAAATATATGGAATAGTCAACATTAGATTTACTGAAAGTCTCTAAATAATGATGGAAGGACAAGAACAAATATTTACACATATCGAAGATTCGGTGTCTTCATAAAAGCGCCRTYAGGGATGGTAGTGATCTGATTCCCTTGCAACATCCTATTRAAAAAAACTCAGAATAGGTGAATATATAGCAAGTTCGCTCCAATAAATGAGAGCACCAGCTGGGAATGYTTTAAAAATCAACAGCAAACAATKATTCACTAAGTAGATAAGCAGTAATTTAAAACTTACAAAGCAGATGTTTYTTGTGGCATCTTGCTTGGCAAGTCRGTCAASGATTCGCAGCTCACCGCAATTCTTCTGCCTTCTGCACTTAAATATGGTTGACACGTACAGCCTTGAGAACATCCTTTGAATGGAGAAGGGTCTTAGTTTGTAATTGTTTGTCATAATTCAATCAAACTAGCATTAGAGTCATTATTTCGATGTTAATCACTTAACGTAAGACTTGAGCACTTTTATTATTGATTGTTTTTCAAATATTATGTTTGGATACCTTTTGTCGTCTTTGTGCATAACTTGGCATAATTGCGAACTAACAATTAGAAAAGCGAAAATATTTGTTGCAATAAAAAATAATACAGCAACAGCARCAACAAAATAGAAAAAGAAAATAAAAAACAACGAGCAGTGAGAGACTTTATAATTTTGGAAGTTTTTGCATTATAGTCCTTATAACCTTTGTTACTTAGACTATCGGAAAACACAAGAGGCACARTTTTTGTTATGTTTGCTCATATACTAACCTTCGATAAATTCATAAGTAATTTTAAAGCCTTTCGCCTGATTTTTTGAAACAGAATTAAATATAATTGTCATGAAATTGGACTGAGACTGGAGAAACTTCGGTGTTTTGTAGTCGCAAAATCTCCCGAGTAATGTTCCTTCTTTTGAGTCTCCATCAAAAATCTCGATGAAGTTTTCTTTAAAAGTGCGTGAAAAGCCCACAACAAAATAATTGAAGGTTAACCGAACCACGTGAGTTTGTGGTGCTTTGATGTACCAGGTGCAACAAACGTTTCTTGGAAAGTAAAGTGGATAATATGGAGAAGCGATGAATCCTGGTCCTGAGGTGATGTTTTTCTTGCAAACTAAAAAGTGAAGAATTAGGTGAATAGCATATTAATTATCCCAGGTACATCGAGAATGAAATAAAGGATCTAAAAAAATTGTTTTCCTGTTCAAAGCGAGTGACAATACAAATAAAACTTTCCCATTAGTTGTGAAATATGAATTACTGTGATTAAGCTGCCGGTCATCTTCCCTACAAAGTTTCTTGGTTTTGTATGCATAGCCAAGACGAATAGCATCTGATGCGCTTTCAGTTTTTCCTCGTATAATGATCTGCAGAGAATGATAAAAAGGCAATATTAAAACTATATCAAACTTCACTATTATGTAATTATTTCATGGATTTTGGAAATCTTCATACCTTATAAGGACGCAATGACCTAATAGGTACACTTCCTAGATGCCAGCGGCCATTGACATTATTATTAACATACCAAACTGGACTGATCCCTTCTCCAAAGCTTTTTACTTCAACTTCTAAAGACTTTTTGCTTTCTCCAAGCATCAGGTATGAGAAATAAAAGCACAGGAAAGGTTCGGACCGGTCGCCATATTTGTCTTGGTAGAACAAAGTGCTTTCTGAACTGCCTTTCAGAAACATCACCTTGTCATTTCGTGTTATAGCTAAAAGTGATGAAAACGGAAAACATCAATTTCGACGATAATAGCCAATTACTCAATTTTTCGAATTCAACCGAATCTAGCCGGTGCTTTATTTGACATAAGAGATCGCTGAACATTTCCCAAGATATTATAATAGAATTTGGGGGTAAAGCGCCACACCCATATGGCATTGTTTTTATTATGTGATCGTCAATAACGGAGGATTTAAAACAAAAGAGTTTGTCTCTACCAATAGGGGCACCCTATCTCATGTAAACAGAACCTAAGCTGGTAGACAGATAATCGCGCAAACACTGCAATGTTCACATTGATGGTAACTTGTGTTAAAAAAACAAGTAAAAATTCAATTATGCGTATTACATTCTAATTAGATTTTCCTAACGCCCATGATTAAAATAATAGAGATGTCATGATTAAAATAATAGAGATGTCCTCTTGACAAGAAATAATTTGAGTACTAAACTTGCACAAGTAAATGACGATTGATTACCCGACAAATTAAACTTGGCAGGATAATCATTAAATGTTTGGTGTGACGTCATTAGCCATGAACTGGTTGAGTTCTTCTCCTTTGATGACTTCCATAAATGCCAGGCGTTGCGCAAAGCTGAAAATCATCATCAAACCAGCAGGATTGCATATCATTGATACAAGTGCTACTTTCTTCTATTGTGCAAATATAATTGTCCCAATCGCGACAAATTACGTCTCGTAAATTCCCTTGAGAAAACTGGAATCATTTTCCTTCAAAGCGAGGTGTAATGCTTATCATCGTTTAACTAACGACTAATTCTTATTGATAGAATTCCCGAGAAATATGGTATCGAGGCTAAGTCTAAGCGTCAAAACACACCCTAACCAATGCGTGCATCCAGAGAAACCCCARGGGACCCTTTCGAAGGCATAAATGCTAGGAGATCCATGAAAACAACCTCCTCTTCGACAAAGTGCATGGAGCTAGGTCAAAGCTAGTGTTAACCCTCCCTCCTCCCCTTCGGCGACGCTCATGCCTTCTCGCTGCCTGGGCAAAGTCGCGTTCCCCATAACTTAACTCAGCCGAGACAATGAGAGGGACATTTTGTCAGGGAGAATATAGTCTCATTATCGTCTCAGTCACACTGAAATGTGGGATGATTTTTGGGCCAAATTGACCGAGTAGCTCTGGTTCCGAGTTACAACTGCTGAGCATATGCACTTGATGAATTTCAATGTTTGATGATAGTTGACAAGCTTCTTGGCATTATATACTTGCAAATATAAAACTACTTTTCGGGGTTGAAAGTAAGGTTCGTTAACTTGACCATTGAATAGAACTGAAAAGCAATTGTTTAAAAGTTCGTTTTAATTTTAGTTTTGAAACAGGGACCTTATCCACAACTCAAAAGCAGGTGACCGTGACTCTTTTAAAAAAACCGGATAAAGATGCACGCATGTTAGAAAATTGGAGGCCAATTAGTCTAATAAATGTCGACGTAAAAATWTGCAGTAAAGCTCTGAGCGAAAGAATGTTAAATCTCCTCCCAAATATTGTCCATCCAACGCAAGCTGCCTTTGTAAAAGGTCGGAATATTGACGAACCAATAAGATTTTTAGCTGACCTCTTCGAGTACGCTGAAGAAAACAAAGACCCTTATATCATATTTGCGGCTGACTTTAAAAAAGCATTTGATTCCGTTGAGCATCCTTTCATTTATGCGACTCTCAAAAAATTCGGTTTTGTTCCAGACTTTATCAACTGGATAAAAGTCTTGATGACAGAAGTTAAAAGCTGTATCTTAAATAATGGTTACGCGTCTAATTTTTTTGATCTAAACCGAGGTACGAAACAAGGATATCCGATTTCGCCGTATCTTTTTATTCTAGTCATAGAAATACTAGCACACTCTATCCGTATTGACAAAGGCATTCAAGGAGTAAAACTTAAGGAAACAGAAGGAATATTAGTCCTTTTTGCAGACGATGCTACCTTATGCTTGAGAAATGTTCAATCTTTAAGGAGGAGCCTGGAGATAATTGAAAAATTTAAAGGTTGTTCTTCGTTAGAACTGAATCTTGAGAAATCAGACGTTGGTTGGATAGGATCGTCTTACGATACTCAACTAACCGACTCTATTAAACGGAAAATTGACTTTAGAAAGGATGGCACAAGAATTCTGGGAATATACTTTTCACAAAATAAAGAATAT